CCCCCCCCCCCCCTATCCTCCTGCACCCGTAACCCACAAAACTCTGCCGCCTACAAACACACACACACAGAAACAACAGCAGTCCTCTTATCTGATCGAGCCATACACATGGCCCTGGAGAGATAAAGGAAAAACATTAGCCCACTGCATGCCTCAGAGTGTGTGTGTGTGTGTGTGTGTGTGAGAGTGATGGCCTCTCTCCCACTGTGAACTGAGAGATGTCGGACTGTGTGCACCATGGGGAACACAAACTGTAATGCACAGTGGTGAATCTGTGAGAACATGATTCTGAGTGGACTGTGACACCTGCTGGCTGCATGTGTTACTGCAAAGAGTGAAAAATAGTTTGGTTTATTCAAACTGGTTTATTTAGTAGCATATTGAACTGTTGATGGATATAATGCTTGTTCAAACTGTATTTCAGTGTTCTTTGTAAAGGCTGTGTTGTTTGGACTGTGTGTGTGTAAACACCAAGGACAAAGATTGAAATACGCCCAGGACTTTATCATCCTATCCCTTACAAAGTTGGAGCTATCTTTTTTAATAAGAAAATTGTCAATAAACCAAACTAAAAGCAGGTGGAAAGTGCAACATCGGACCTGTGATATCCAGCATCCCTCATATCTAAAATACATAATTTTCCATACTTCCATTTGCCTTTTTATTTTTAACTCATAACAACATAGATGTACTGTAGATCATTAATTGCTTAACCACCTGCCCTCTTTTTCTTAATGTTGTTTCTGCATATAAAAAGTAGGTTACCACCTCCAGAAATAGCATGACGGGCATGATTACCGCTGTGAAAAGCTTTGTATGCTGACTCAGGGTGCACAGAAAGCCAACTCATAATTTGAAGAGTTGCAGTTGCTTAACATATTTTATTTGACTGAGCCCATTTGCTGTGTTTGTGTGTGTGTGTGTGTGTTTCCGGACAGCTGCTGTGAGTGTCTGAGTCAATGACATTATGTCTGACTCTATTGCCTTTAAACAGCATAACACGCACTACCAGAGGCGCAGTTTTGACAGCAAACACCGAATGAAACACATTTTCAATATGTGGCAAAATTAGCTCTTTTGGGACATTTGTATCAGTGTAGTAGTTATAGTAGAAGCTCTGCATGTGTGACTTTTTTGACAATTTCTAGATGGGAGTCTAAGATGAATCTGCACAGTTTTGTTTTTTTTACTGGAAGTTAGATCTTTAAAGCATCCATTTGAAGTTTCACAGATCTTCCATGGGTGACATGTCACACAACTCTTCTTCAGTACACCATTTACACCAAATGTTTTCAGCTATCTTCATTTACTGTGCCCCATCACTTCTACATAAGCATGTCAGTGTTTGCTCATGACTGTGGTACTGTTGAGCCATGTTTCAGTAGAACATGGGCCTAAACAGGTGAGTCTCCACACCTATCCCATGAACCTGTTTTGGAGTAAGAAGAGATGTTTTTTTGCTGCCTTGTACCTGAGATGAGCTGCTTTTGGATGCATTTTGGTCAATGTAAAATGTGTGTGTCTTTGCATTTGTTAACACCTAAGTGATTTGTCCTTGTATTTTCAGTGAAATTATTGGGAAAGCGACGAGAATGCGCTATTTTTGTGATTTCACTTTGACTATGCACATCTATTTTGACACTGATCGATATATTAGCACAGATACCACATAAACAAAGCTTATGTGATCTTTTTCTTCAAAAAATACAATTTCCAAAATGTCATTGTTCTTAGTTAATATAAAAACTGTTAGATTAGACCATTCCAGTAGAGTCTACTGGATTATATTTGTTTTCCATTAACAGGATTTCTTTGAGAACAGTTGGAAGTGTAGTTTTTGAATGGATGTAACTTAAAGCTAGACATACTTTGACATTAGTTAGGGTTATTTGTCAATGTTCAGTGATAGGGGAAATTTAAATATACTGTCCTTGGAAAAGTAATCTGAATATTTGGATTGAAAGAATACAGAATGTATTTACTAATATTGAAAAATCAATATTCACCCATGAAAAAGTGCATTTAGGTAGAAAATGTGGTGTCCTAACTGGTTTTAGGTTTAACACTTCTAATTATAACAGAGCTACATAGCATTAGTGAGTTAGTGACAGTAATTTATAGAAGATCTTACCTACAGAGTAAAGAAGGAATTCCACATTCTTTGATCAAACGTGACGTCTTTCTGTCAGCTAGGAGTTCATTTAAATGGTTTCCTTTCTGACTTTGCTTTAAAATGTAATACAGTACTTATGTGAAAAGGCTGAAGACTGAAGGCTGAAGAGTTCTGGAGTCCAAAACTTATACCATGTATACTGTCTTTGGTCACCTTGACTTTTTTCCCAATGAAATCTGTTGAAACTTTATTAATAAACTATGAACATCTAGAGGTTATAATGAAAAACAATACTTATAAGACACAACACAACTTAATAAATTAAACACATCAGTTTCACAGCTGACATACGTGTGTGTGAGTGTGTGTGGGTGGGTGGGTGTGTGCATGTGTATGTATATATGTGTATATGCCTTTGCAGAACAATTTAAGCACATTTTGTTGGTAATATTGTACTTTTACGTATCATGTATTTGTATAATAACATTGTGATGTGAATATAAGTATTTCTTCCAGCACTGGCTCATTCAGAACATTCACTTTGTGTTTTCAGTTTCTGAGAGCTGAGATGTTGCAGACCTGACAGATTCGGATATTGCTTTATAATCTATCAAGTGACAGCGAAAACATACAGTATTTGTTACTGTTTATTTTCTAGAACATTTAAGTGCGCTAGGCCTTGATAAGACACTGCCAGTTGTGTTAAGGACACAATTAACACAAAACAAACACCTCTCTGTTTCTGTTTCCTTCATTCACATTGAAAAGAACCCACAGTCTTAATCAGTATGTTAAAGTTGCTTTAATTTCTTTTTTTTAAAACATTTATTCCAGGCTGAATGATATCATTACCACAGTTTTGACATGTACATCATTAATATCTTAGTTAAACCATCAGAAAATAAAAACAGCCATAGAAAACATTGTTTGTCTGTCACATCTGGACAGAGGTGTATTTGAAGTCCTGTAAATACCACACATACACGCAAACATGACTGACTCTTAAACATGAGCGTGGACCTTTTTCCGTCAAGACATACCGTATCAGACTGTTCAAATCCCAGAAAGCATTGCACAGGAATTCAAATACAACTTTAGGTCAGGTGTGCAAACTACACTGGAATAGTTTTATTAAAACATTGCAAGACAGAGAGTCATTCACCATTAATAAGAGAGGAAAAACGCTGCTCTTGCCTTTATTCTCCTACAAAACAGCTAGCTATTATTTTATCTTTAAAGTCTGATTTTTACAAGACAGAGAAAAATAAAAAAACATGTTGTGATATGAAGAGTGTTGTAAGAGTTTAAAAACATTATGAAAGGCCATTAATCAGTGACTAGTCCCACAGATCTTAACATCATTTGCATCGATCGTGCAAAAAACACTGTAAAGTACTAGACCATAGGTAGCATTGTTACCATAACATGGACATTTTCATTCTAGTAAAATCACACATGTAAGATTGTCTCGCTAATACGAGAAGTGGTCATTGATTAATAATAACATATTAAAATGCTGTACAGGAAAGGTGGTTGGAAGGTGTTTGAATGTTAGGGCTCTGCTCACTCGGCTAATTACTAGATTCCAGGTTTCTACCTACTACATCACCCATAATGCAAATGGTTTCAGTGTGATGTCAAAGCTGTGGCAGGGTGTGTAGTTACTACAGCTCTAGAAGTGAATGTAAACAGGACAAAAGTAGGGAAAGATAGATTTTTATAAGAAACTGTGGCGTGTGTAGTGAATGTCTGTACAGCATGTATGTGTGTGTGTGTGTGTGTTTCAGGTTTCAATGTGTGTATGAGGGCATGCGTGGCGTCTGTATAGAAATGACTCAGGCTAGATAAGCTGGCCCTTGCTTGTTGCCAGTCAGACACACCGATCACTGTACTTACACACAGTAACACTGAGATAGAGCAATAGCCAATCACGCTGCAGTGATGTCACACACACGGGTTCACGGATACAGTTTTTATACACTGTACAGAGAGTTTTAGAGTGGGAGCAAAAACCACTGGCAGTGTCCCAGGCGGTGTGTTTTACTTCTCCGCCTCGCAAAGTCACCTTGAAGAGAATTTGTGCTTGTGGGTAAAAAAAAAAAGAAAAAAGAAAGAAAAAAGACTCACTACTTGTGGCTAAAGGTTGATCCAAGGTCAGCAGTTAAGAAAATAAAAGCACAGGAAAAAAAACAGTACAGAAGAAAACAAAATACTACAGTTGGTCACAGTATCACATCCCGAATTTCAGCTTATGATAAAACATAAAAAACACCAACTTTCTGTGAATTTAAACACTTTTACATAACATTATTAATCAGGGACATGTTTTTTTTTTTTCAGGTTTCGAAACATAACTTCCACTCAGTAATGATGGAAAGCTGTTTTATTTTTACTGCTTTTAATATTCCTGATCACATCCCTGAATGAAAACAAAACAAAACATTAAAGGAATAAAAACGTCCGTCCCTCAAGTCCTGATCGTCTTCTCTGACCTCGACTGGCTTACATAGCACCTGACAAATGTGTGGTCGCAATTTTCAGTCAGTCTTATTCCATTTCTGTCCACCGTTTTTTTTCCTTTTTTCAAGTGTCTTTCCCATTCCCATAGTATTTACAGTCGGAGGGAAAAGTTTTTCTTCCCTTTTTTCGACACATCTGGAGGCAGTAGGAGAAGAGGACAGAATCAGGCATCCCTCATTATTCAGAGTTTTTTGGCACAGGTTGAGCCTTCTTATGCCCCTCGTCTCTCGCTCCAATTCCCCAAATTCCAAATAGTTATTCCCCAACAGGATTCCTGGCTCATATTCGAAATGCATTAATCGACGCCTGTACTGTATGTGCACGTAAACAAATATGGAGAGAGACATGGACACACTTTTCAAGCTCACGATTCAAGTCTTAGTTAGACGACAATGTTAAGCTAAAGAGAATATGGATGTGTTGGTACTGTTTCTACCTATAAACATGGCTTTCTGATTCACTGGCTTATTATTTATACAGATGTGTCAGCCGATTTGTGTGTGTGTGTGTGTGTGTTTGAGAGATACAGCAAAAAACTTCCATGATAAACACGCAGCACACCACATTTACCAGTTATGATTCAACAGTCTACTTTTCATGAAATCAGAGTAAAGCTCATGTTTACTATTTACAGCTCTGTACAGTGTGTGTATGCATGTGTGTGTGGGCTTGTCTGTGTGTGAGTGTGTGGTCTGAGTGTCAGAGTGTCACGGCATTGGACGGTGAGAGTGGCGTAGCTGTCTCCACTGGAGGGCACTGTGCGGATCCCAGTGGAGGAGGAGAGCATTGAAGAGTGGAAGAAGAAACTGGAGACGGAGCCAAGGCGCTTTAACTGCTGTGCATTGTGGGTATATGGGTTGATCCATCACGGCAGTGGTGGAAACCAGCATCTCGGGGTGTGTGTCCTCTAAGCAGAGGAGTATAACTTATGATCTTCAGGGATGGACTTTTTCCTTTTTGAATAATTGTGGGTGAGAAGTAGAGGTTGACCTTCAAAGTGCAGTCCTTTGCTGAGGTGCTGTTTCTGGTGAACCGGGCGGTGTAATTCCTTGACAAACTGTGGTCCTGTTGGTGCTTTTAAGCTCTGGTGAGCATCACGTTGGATCTTGTTATTGGCTGTGAGAACTGGATTCAGGCAGTACTGGGGTGGACAGATGCGGAACTGGTTTCTAGTGCACTGAGGACTGTGGTCGGGCTGCGGGGTTAGGCCGGCTAGCCGGGTCCAGTTGGTCGTTGGGAACGGAGCGTCGGTTCTGGTCCGGTCGGTTGGTGGCCAGGTACTTTGCTCTCATACTTGAGGTGTACTGGAGAGATGGAGGACAGCGAGGGGAAAAAAGGACGAAGGGGTTTAGAGAAAGAGCGAAGAGGGGTTCAGTGACAAGAGGGAAATATGTCGGGAAAGAAGAGAACCAGAGGGAGAAATTGAAGTGGGAAACAATTAGAAAGTGGAAAAAAAGACAACAAGAGGAAAACGTATGGATTACGATCAAGGCTTATTGACACATAAAGAGAGAGTCATGTAGAAACAACAGTGAAATAATGTACATCATATCAGGAAATGTGATAGATAGATAGATAG